CCATTTTGGCAGACAAGGCACCTGCTAGTGCATGGGGGCTTCTTGTCAACCATTTTAACTCTGGTTGCTGAAGCGTCAGTGATTAAGAACTACCACCAGAGAAACGTGGTCTCGTTTCTTCAAAGCAGGACAAGGATGTGCATAGCGTTGCGAAACTCAGCCTGCCATATCTACAAACTCTTCCCAGCGTAACCAATGTACTCAGCTTTTCGCGGGGATATGATGGCGTACCGGCGAAAGTTGGCAGTGCGTATGGCCATGAATCACAAACTTCTGTATCAGCACGTCAATAGTCTACGTAAGGTGGAACCGTGAATTCCTCCTCTTCAAAAAGCTGACGGACCCACAGGCGCATTGAAATAGGCGGCGAATACCCTGCGTCTACAATCTGTTGTAACATTTCAGTGCGATCATTGGCCACTTAACCCTTTGAAAATGGTTGTTTTACCCCCAAAACTCACTGAAATCCTTCATGAAAGAAGCAGTACTAAAAAAGCTGTTGAGTATTCGCAAGCACAGCTCTCCTGGGGTTGATAACTTACACACAAACTCGCTAGCGGCGACAGCAGATAGTTTAGCTGGGCCTTTGGTTCGATTCTGCCAACGCTGTTTTGAGGAAATGTACGTGCCCGACATGTGGAAACATGGGAAGGTTACTCCTATTCACAAGGGAGGTAGTTGTTCCAGTCCAGCTAACTGCCGTCCCATAATAGTACCGGTTCTTCCAAAGGTCATGGAAGCTATTATTCCTGATGCGCTAAAAGTGTACTTGGAAGAATTTAACTGCCTCGCACCGGAACAACATGGCTTCCGACGAAATCGATCGTGCACTACAAATATATTACTAGCACGATCCAGCTGGACTGCAGCAGTAGACTCTGGCACAAGGGTTGATGTAGTCTTTCTTGACTTCTCAAACGTATTCAACCAGGTAGACCACAACATTCTGCTCTTCAAACTCCCGACCCCTTTTAGGGATGATCCCCTTCTAGGACGGATCAGAAGCTTTCTACTACACTGGCGCTTGGATGTAGGATTGCGAGAATCACTGACAGATCCTATCCGAGTTGACTGCAGCGTGCCACAGGGATCGGCACTAGGACGGCGATTGTTTTGATGTATTTTATCCATTCACACGCCTCATAAGCTCGAACTGCCTGCTTTATGTCGATGACATTAAGGTGTGGAGGGCCATCAATACACCAAATGATATCACAGTACTTCAAGCTGATTTGAATAGAGCAAATGCATGGTCAATACAGAATATACTCCGCTTCAAGGTGAAAAAATGTAGAGCGCTGTACTTACGGCACAAGTTGGTGTACTCCAACAAACTCGGTAAACAGGAACTCCAAACGTCTTCTGGCGAGCAGCACCTGGGTGTTTTGGTTTAGGTCGAGCTTGGATGTTTTAATCAGGCTGAAACAGAGTCAAGGCGGGGCATCCAATACGTGGGCTTCTTGAAGCGTGAATTCGAACGATCCGACCCTTCTTCTCGGCTCATGCATACGGCCACATGTAGAATACGTAATACAGCTCTGGCAACCATGGCTGAGGAGAGATATCACCGCCCTGAAGATACCCCAAAGCCAGGCAACCCAGAATGTCAAGGACCTGTATAATTTCTCGTATGAATAACGGCTTCAAGTGCTCGGGATCTTCAGTACTGAGTATGGACGCTTGCGCTCGGATTTCATTTTGACTTACCTGAATTTGAGAGATCCCAACCGCGCGTGCCGCTAGTTGCTAGAGTCCAGTAACCACAGCAATTTGAGAGGTCACCATCTCAAGCTGGCACAACAACACAGTCGTTTGGAACGTCTTTAGAATTTTTTCTCCGCAAGCGTTTGAAGGACGTGGAATGCTCCACCGGAATCTGCCATATGTGCTCCCACGCTGACAGAGTTCCAAGCCGAGTTTACCGTGCAGTTATTTCGCTACACCATCTTACATGATCCATTACCCATGGATAAACACAAGTGTCTGTAAGAGATTTCACTGGCGGTTAAATCCCGGATTTCGTTCCACCTTTTTCAACTTCTGTATCTGTACACCAGGAGCAGACACGAATTTTACCAACGTCCCATTTACCGTCATTTCTTATGGATTTACCATGAATTTACGCTTTATACTACTTACACTTCAGTGAGTTCACTGGTGCAAACCCAATTTTATCAACAAGCTTTTTTGTACTTTTTTGATGTTTCACCATAACCATCCTAAGGGACTTGTTAATCATTAGCTATTTTATCCGTATAAAGCCATTGTTCCATTGACAGTGGTATCTTTGCAAACTGAAGATATCCTCATCAGTTGTCTTTCGCCATCTTCAGCGCATTGTCTGACACCCGCGTAAGCCGCAGTGAGTGAGGAAGCAATGACATGGGACAAAGTCAGGGCTACGCTGGGTAGAATGAGGGAAAGGCATCCCACAAGAATTTCACATAAACACATGCACTGTTGAAGTTGCATTAAGGCATCACATATCCGGCCTCATAACACCTATACGATGAGATAATGTTAGAAACAAAACAGTTACCTTGGAATTCTGGTGACCTAGCAAGATGGCTGTCAAAATTCTAGGTTTAGCTTCACTGTATACACTTGTAAACGTCAATAGTCTGTCATCCACAAGCGACTTTATCTCAATTCTGAGCGAAGCTGCTGTGAACCGGACACTAGCAGCTGGTTTACAACTATTGTAAAGAATCAGCACATCACATTATACATAGTTCCGCCCACACAACTCAGTTTACTTGCGTACCCAAATGAATAAGGCTGAGAGTAATGCAAACAAAGACCACGATTTTTGACGCTTGTTCGAACTAGTTTGATGCAAACATCTGTGGTGTAACAAGTTAAGTCGACAAATTGCTTTATGCACCTTGGTCGGGTGGGCCAGGTACCCACAGGCCGGTGGCTAGACCCCCTGCTCCCTGCATTCAAAATCACTTGGTGAGCCTAGCACTATCGCTTGAAGCTTATCCATTTCTCCTCCCTCCCTCCTCATCATCATCATCATCATCATACACGTTAGCTGGAGGTGGGGAACACCTCAGCTGCTGTGCCGCAATACATAGTAAAAAGAAAAAAAAGCAACTGGTGCAAGTCGGCTGAGCTACCGGTAACGGATGGACATCGTTCTGGTAAGCTAACAGCCGGCTACTGTGCATCAAAAAATTATGCAGAATTATATAAAATTAAATAATGAGCTCGTGATTGGAGGGGGAGGCTAAGAGGGATGGAGAGGGACAAAGAAACTCACAGCACGAACGCCACTGAGGTCGACTCCTAGCCATATCAGCAAGTGTGTCCAACCAAACGTGTTCATCGTCTTTCGGACCCCAACCAGGGAGCCGAGACGCTCCAACCGAGGCCAGCTCAAAAGTGAGGGCCTTCATTCCTCTGGACCAAGTCATCCCTTGGCCACCCATCCTCTTCTTCCATCCACACCCCCGGCGCGCAAACAACACATGTCGCGGGAGTCGGTGGGCTGGCATGCGTAACACGTGGCCGAGCCATCGGAGCCTGGTGCGTGAAATAACGGTGCTGAGCGAGCAATGGTTGACAGTCTTTGGGTCAACTAATTGTAGTGGCAGCATCGGTCAGATTGCGGTTTTCAGCAGTCGCTTGGTGCGCAGCCCAACCTAATAAGTCGTTCACGCGTAAACTTGAAGCAAAATTTACTTATTTAGACAAAAGCTAACTGATTAGACAAAACAAGGTGCATGTCCTGTCAATACGAGAACTGGCATCTGCACACGAATTCTACCAGACCAGTTCATGTCAGCAGTGTCACCTAGATGGTGACCTATCTATGAGGTCTGTCGAAGTTATTGTGTGTTCCTGGTGGATTGAGATACCTTTTAATTGTCCAACTGAAGAACTCATACAATGTGGATAAACACACTTCTCAACAAGTGACTGAATCTCAATTCAACCCAATCAAACTGAAGAAACCCGCCGAAGGCAATGCCAACTTCAGGGCTGATCAAAGCTTGATGCGATAACTATACAGTCACCGTGTAATGAACTGATTATAGCTTAAGACAAATTCGTATGGGTGTAAAAAGACGAGGAATCAGCACGAATTTAGCACATGAAACTATGTTGTTATGGAGCGAAACATATAGCATATGTTTACCCAGAACAGATGGTCGTGGATAATGGCCCAACTGACTGGCTCGGAGTGCCCAGAGTTTTCTGCTAAGCATCTGTGAAATACTGGTGGATTAATCCATTACGTACTACAAGTGTTCGAGGTATAAACACATTTTTGAACACACACACACACACACACACACACAAAGTTGCTTTATGCTTATACCATTCAACTAAATAGGCTGATAGCAAGAAATTCCAGTACGTCTACTGAATTTGCTTAGGCGCCATTCTCGTCGCTAGCTAACCAGACAGCTTGGCCATTAATTTCCGATCGGGCAGTCAACCGATTGCTTAGTTCTTGCGCTTTCAGCCATCAGCTGTGTTTTGAATGAACAACAATGCTTAACTGCCTTACTTGGGCAATCTTTCCTGCATACTGAGTAAGTTACTTCTTATGAAGATGTACCTTAAAATCTTTTCACGAAAAATTGGAGCGTAATAAAAGGACCTGGGTGGTCTCAGTGGGTGTGCAATCATCTAATGTATTTGATAGGATAACAAGTTTACCCCATCGTATTCACAACTTAACAATCCTCAGAGTTTTCCGGAGCGTACACAGAGACTCCATTGTGTTTTGGATTTTCTAACTTCCAGTGCATCAGTGCTGGTTTAAGGGGAATTTCGATGCTTTTCGGAAGCTTCAAAGCAGCTGGGCCCAGCTAAATAAATTGCAAGTCTTGTCTCATTAGTGTCTTTCAGGGATATTTGTATAAGGCCAGCAACATTACAGTTATTCTGCTTTCAGCTCCTTCCTAGTTTGCAGCTATGGTACTACAATCAGGTCACTTCAATGCAGGTGATTTAATCGCCCTATTTTCACTTCGCTCCCTACCCAGTCAAATTCTTACAGCGTTGTGATTCTCCATAATGGCGAAAAAGCGTACGCCGTCCTCCAGTACTGGAATATTGAATGGCCGGACATGAACGATTATGTCTCTGATGCTGCTCCTCCAGAAGCTGGAATATTTATACAGCCTTCAAATGGCTATCAGCTACCTAGGAGTGGACATTCGGTTAATACGTCCCTTTGGATGAGGTGAGTTGAACTGCCGTAGTATACTAGGCTTACTGTGGGATGGAAAGAAGTTGGTAATAAATCCTCTTTAAATTTTTCCATCAGTGAATCTAACGTTGTACTTCCCGGCGAATGGCTTGTGCCTCTTTATGATGCTCCTGTGGAATCTGACGATAGGTTGGAGTGGATGCCGAGGATTGCAAGGGAGTTTTTGACATCTCTCAGCGATACATGTCACCGGGACTTTGGATCCAATCTGTGGGATTTAACAGCCAACAGCGTGGTTAAAACCGGAACTCGGTTGGAAGTGCTAAATGATTCCCCGAATAGTCGCGAGACAGCAATATCTTCCACGTCTAGCAGTTGGGATCATGATTTCTATACGGATGAGTTGGAGGAAGAATATGACCCTACGGAACAAGACATCATAAATGGTACCGAAAACTTTTGGGATAGCTATCATGAAGAAGCGCGTCACGGGGGATCTGTTGAACACGAACACATGGTGTCGACGGAGTCAGAGACAGATGAAACGGAATATTCTATAGTAGAACCTACGATAGTTCCGGAATATGTTATCCACTTGGAAACAGCTGGTGCAAAGTCATTTGTGTTGTCCACAGATGAAGGTAAGTATTCATGTTTATGCTTAGGTCATTTAGTTGAAATCATACACAGGGAATGAGGGTATGCTCTAGTACTCAGTACGTGCACGCTGAAAGACTGTATCTGGGCAAAAGGCTCCCGGTACATTCGTCATGGCTCGTGTTGTTCACAGTCGTCGCTTCCCATTCTAAGAAACCTGGGACGTGTGGCTCTCCAAGTAAAGAGGGCTGCTTAGGAACGAAGATCTACTCTACTGTATTGTCGGCAACAACGTATGAATAAATACTAGTTCAGTATTAGTGTCAGATCCAAACCTTAAACTTAGGACGGAATATTATTGTAACTTGTCAGCTTAAATGCTTCAGAGTTTCACAGTTTCGCAGTAGCCAAACGTTATTGAAAGTTAAGATTGTTTGGTTTACTAGCCTTTTTAACAAAACACGAACGCTTTTTGGGCCAGATCCTACAACCTGCTATGTTTATCTCTCATTCAGAAGGTCATAACTAATTGAAAGTGATCGTTACTAGCTTGGACCCAAATGTATTGTGACGGTGTACTTGTGCTCCTTAATCCAAAGATCCTATTTAAGTATCATTTTCTGACAGCTTAACGGCCATTCACTGCGAGTAGGTTAGTGGTTAGAACGCAGACTAGCATTATCTCGGTGTTCTCTTCAAAGGAGGTTAAGAAGAGGTGGGAGGCTCCCTTCCCGGGTTACATTTTTGGAACCCGCACTGTATCAGCTCTTAGGGCATTTGTGTCAACGTGCAGCACAAAAGTCGCAGGCTGTCCCGAAGTAACCAGTACCGGGCTCTTATTCACCAGGTTGATAGACCAGGTAACGTTATTTCGACACAAGCACTAGTGTTTAACCGGCCAAAATTCGCCAGAGGTCACCCGTGATCTCACATTTCCACAAGACTATTCTAGAATAATCCGCGCATTTACTTTTGGATCTATCAAAATCATTTACGGTGTACTTTAGGCAGGTGCCAGCTGGACGCTGTGATCCTATGGGCAAGCCGCAGCGGCCCCATTCTGCCTAAGGTATCGGACTGTAGAGTCAACATCTGAAAATTTGTGACCTCACTCGGCGCTCATCACCCGAAATGGGTAACCTATAAGTATCAGATGTTCACGAAATTCCCAACCGGTTTATTTTCTCTTCTTTTGCTCACGTTTAACTGGCCTGTCCTTTAGTTAAACTGTAACGGGCCATTGCCTTTAGATAACATTAAAGGGGCCCATTTATGTTCTGATAATGTCCTTCGTAATCGGATGCAGCCATACAGACACTGCACAACCGGAGAGGAGTTAAAGGTCTTGTTGCACTTTTTAGAATCCAGTTGTATCCGTATCATGCTCTTACAAACTTCCATTTGGGCCACTGAACCAAGATGGTGGAATGCCATTACTGATTACTAGCTGCTATATAGCACGGGATGTTGACAGGTAATCAGGTGAGGAAGGCCAGCATCCAGCTGCTGGCCTAGTATATTTGACGGCCCCATGCTCCAAACGATTACTGATAAATATGGACAGTCGATGCACTCTTGACCGCGTGAAACTGAACGCCGTGTCGAAAAAAGTGTTTAGCCATTCGGCCTGTTTGGTGCGTCAACATTTTCAGCTGGGGTACCAGAACCCACCTGGGACGTTGAGGCGATGGCTTCCATCATCAGTAAGATCCTACGCTTAACAGTTCACTTTATCTACCTCTAAGGGTAGATTGTATGTCAGTGGTGATTTGTTTCCTCATTATTATGTTGCATAATATTTAAGGCAAATGGAAAAGCGCTCGGTCTGGTGGGTGCATATTAGGAGTCCAGTTATTCAAAGGCATAACACAGTCTTGTGAAAGCCTTTATTTTACGGGTAATGTCTAGCTTACCATCAGAATGCTGCCACCATACTCAGATGGCTTGCCAGTCCTTGGAAACAATTTGGCCTAGTCTGATTGCCATTACTTAGACCACGAAGTGTCGGTTACCTAAGAATCATTGCAGTGACAGGCATGGGAACACGCAGCACGGATTTTACTGACTGTGCGCTTCATTGTTGATACCACCCTTTAAGGATTGTAAAGCGTCTGCGGGAACATGCACAAGCATTTGGCCTATGATGTCAAGCGATGCGGGATATGTGCTGCCGCCGTGTTAATCTTTCTTTTTCGATTTCCGACAGAAATGATCCAAAGTAACGCTATGCTACTCTTTTGTCTTTCTTCCTGGATGTAGTATTGCTAGATAAATGGATGTCAAAGCTACGTTTGTGCCAAACATGTATAACACTGGTGATCAAACAGCTGCTTTGTCGCAATAACCGTTCCAGTACTTGTCTAACATTTTCTAATTAAACCATTCTTTCACCTAACCTGTCGGAGGCTTCAGTACTTCATAGCTTCACCGAGCAATTTCTGTCAGTGTTCTGTTGGTTTAGTGGTTTATGTATGTGTATTACGTCTGGCTATAAACTTACCAAAGACATTAACTCGAGAGGCAACAACGTCCAGGTGACTTTATGAAAACTTTATTATTTATACAGTGCACGTGATAACAAGGTTTTAGTCAGAGGTATAGCAAGCAGTATTCTGGTGCATCAGATGTAATCATATACGCAGGTTATTACTAGTACGCGCTGAAGGCATTTATAAACTGATAATTTTGAGCCGCATATGCCATTGTAGCATTATGAATGTCTGTTGGGAAAGATAAGCATGTGACACTGAGATTCGTCACTTGTTCTCTTCTAGCAGATCGTATGGGGCTGCGTCGGGTAAGATGGAATCACAATGCAAAGCGAAGTCATGTTCAGCTAATTCATCGTGGCCACTATCTATCTCTCGGAGTCATGTTGCTTGCAAAACTGCTGCCGGCTGCATCGGTAGGCATCATGTATTTATAGCAAACCCGGTTGACTCTGACCTCGAGATTGACTTGCGGTGGAATTTTGCAAGAGCAGCAACAACAGATCAGAAAGACTGCTATGAGCTGATATGGGTTGTCCTGTTTAATAAGGCCATCGGCATAACACTAATTAGTAGCTGGAAAAGCCATGGGAACTCAGTGAAGTCCTCGCATTCATTTCCCTGATTCTGACTCTTTAGAAACCGCTTAAGCAATGTCACTTTTGTCCTTTTTAGATTCGATCGTCATAATTAATTCCTTACTGTTCGTTATAGCTTTCATTCCCCTGATGCGATCCAAAGCAGCTGAATCCATTACATTTCACTGACTGGATAACACTTGTTGAATGGAATTGAGTTGATCCTGAATCGTTCTTCGTCGCCGCACAAATATTTCCACCTTTTTCAAACCTGACTATATTTCCAATGGAAATAAGCTGAGCTAGCAACTGTTCCCCACGATCTGGAGAATTGTTAAATTTTATCCTGCGATCTTACAAGTAACTGTTTTTATCCAAAGACAGCAGCATAAAGCTCTCCATGGGAGCGCCCACTACCCATCGTTACATCCGCCTCCTCACGTAGCCAGGTGCATTATTGCTTTTGCCTGTCGTTACCAGGCCAGCAGAAAGGAAACTGCTCCATTTGCCGATTCCGTTCGGTTGAGTAATTATGTCGCGACTAGAACTACGGTTCATTAATTTTACTTTCAGACACTTTAATTTTACCAGGAGAGATTTTCGCGGCGCATTAAAACAAACTGATAGACACTCGTGTGTTCTGTTGTGCTGTGTAACTTTTGGGTTGTAAATCAGGGCACAGTCTGCTAAAAAGTCGATCCGTGCGCTATGTGAGAAACCTCCGTAGTTACTCCGTGGGCTTTGCAAATACAACATCTGTTTGCGTGAACAGCAATATTTCTCTTGTTATTTATTTCATGTGAATAGGGTCAGCCAAGTGTTTTTGTGAAAACTCGGCTTATGGGAAAGCTAGCTAACGCGTCGGTTCAGCGCACAGTTGGTTTAAGATGCTTTTACTTAGAAATACCATAAACTGATAAAAATTTGTAGCCTCAAATAACTAATCCAATTAGCAACATATCTTTTTTTAATAATTCTCTTCAGGTTATTATTATTGTTATTGTAACAGAGCAACAAGCAACACAGTATACTACTGGAAGCTGGATTAATGGCTGCCACCGTTTGGACGAGATCAGTCGTTTGAATCGATAATTCGGTCAATCTGCTAAGGGTAGGCTTCGAACTCGACATGACATTGCCAGTACCTGCCACCGGAGGATTGCCGCGGGGCCAAAGCAAGAGGAGGGTTTGTGCGCGAGTCTTTTGCTTGCAAAATCCAGTGTGGATCATTATGTTAGCGATTGCCTCAGCCGCTTTCAATAGACGCTTACGGAGTGCTTTGGAATAACGTACCAGCACGCAGCAGAAAACCTTGAACAAAGCTGCTATCCGGATTTTATATCCGCTTATGAACCAGTACTCCATAATAGCGCTGTTGATGCTTTTATCTGAGCTTTTATCTTCGTAGCGGCTCTGAGTAGGGCTCTGCTACCCGTTTTAATAAACATCTTTCTTTAGAGTAAAATGAATTTCGTACTTTCATAAATTTAGTTCCCCTTTAACAGGGTCAGTTATTGTGCTGGATTAAAATCTGATTTAATGAAAGCAAATACTAACCATCTATGTTTAGCAAGAAGAAAGAGTGCGGTATAAATCGCCATCCCTATAAAATTACAGTATTTACTAGTTGTATGCAGTACCGTGCTATCTTAATCGTTTGGTCGTAAACAGATTGTTGCATCTTCGTATTAATTACTGTTCGTATACCATGCAGTTACGCTCGTTCGTTTGTTTCTCGCCTTGAGAGTAAGCGGGACACAATTCACCAATGACAATAAATCTGCCCTCAGAAATTAAAGCAGTTCACTTTCTGACACTTAAGCTGCATTTTGTACAGCATCTATCGAACCAAAATCTTACGTTCTATCAACGGAAGGATACAATATTGGCAACTACGTGAGTGGCTCTGAAACAGAACAGCATAGATATCCGACGCAAGGCCCAAGTCAACTTGAAACTTGTGATCCATTCAGAGAGTGCACGGCTGCTAACACTGACTGTTACCAGTCTTCTGAAGGGGCTTGTTGCGTTTGCAGAGAAGGATTCTACGGTTCTGGTGACACACAATGTTGGGATGCAGGTAAGCGAAATTGTGTTTACATGGCTTTGCTAATGCTAGTGACCCCAACAAAGACTGGAGTTGGCGGCGAAGTATCGATTTTACCCAGAGGTTTAGATATGTCTGAGTTTTCCTTACAGATGGGTCTACCTATTGGTATTGGGTTCACTGCGATCAAATAAATTCGTTTGATTGATAATACTCAACTCTCAACGTAACAATTTCTTTAAGACTATGAAACTGTTGTGTCATCGCCCTTTCAGACCACTTAAAACCATTAGTAGAATGCCGTAGAATGGAAGTAATTGCCACCCACATAACTGTATTCAACTGAACTTGCATAAGATACCAGTCGAGTGGCTCACCAATTACTATTTCAGAGTTTTAAATTATAACTGAAATGGCAGTAGCAAAGAACAGAAAGCGGATAAAGATGAAATTGTTTGAGAGTCCATAATATGATAATTACTTTCAAAGCCTGTCAGCTCCATTCCATATCTACCGACCGGATTTGGATGTGCAAATAGCACTTGAGCCATTATGAATGCACGGTCTTCGGCTGAATGGCTTCTAAGTTAACCAGAAGATAGAGAGAGTGCAATAGATACATCCGAAGGTGGAACACCTTTGTGGGTCAGTAGTCTTGATCCATAGCATGTCAGAGATTAAATCGTGCAAAACACATGATAGCAGGACAATGGTACGATGGCTTATAACAGTTACGCAGAACAATCCCTGAGAGGTCCCGTTGGATGCTCAAAGTAATGGCGCTAAACTCAACAAGATATGCCTTAAATAATCGAATACTGGTTGCTACGACAAGCGGTCTACTAGCTGGAGTGCCCACTTTCATAATGATGTACGGTTAGCAAACAGGGGGTCCAATCCTCCTCACAATCTCAGTAGAAGGCTGCTGGAATTGAGTGCTCTATATGAGTGAAGCAATGGGCAGCGACTTAATCTGTTGGTGAGTCACAGCCGCTACGTCGCAGGGTTTTTGAATAGACATTTGTACTTTTATCCAGGGAGAATACTTGCCCGGTTGAAACTAACAACCTTCTGAAAGGTTATCAATGAACCATTTACTGGAACGTTGAAAACCTGAAGCACGCAATTGCCATCCCGAAGAGGTTGCTCAGCGAGTATACCATATCTCTAAAACTTGTAAGCGAACTTACTTTTACAAGACATTGTCAAGGCGTGCACAAACATTTACAAATTCAGTCAAACGTTGGCGGATCGTCATCAAGCTCGTGCTGCATGTCCGGATCTGAAAACATTTGTGCTGCTCTGACCCAGCAACCGTGTCTCTCAGACCAACCATGGGTGCTTTGAGAGTGATAGTCTCAAAGACCACGGAGGGTATCTGGAAGCAAGTGCCGAGCGGCTATTCTCGGGTTTAAGACGATCACATTCCTTGGTAACTAAAATTGACTGCTCCATGCTTCCACAGAGGAGAGCAACCTATCTCACGGAAGCAATATTGGAAGAAGGCAGACAATGGTGCAGCTACGAAGGCCATTTTCAAAAATTTTGGGCCTGTCGTTTATACCAGGAGAATTGCATTCGAGTAAAAGTCTGCCAACCTCTTCAGTACAGCTTTCGGAATAGCAGTGAGATTGCCAATTCCCGCTAGTGATGCTTTCTATATGCGAACGCCAGGAGATTGAGTTTTACAATGCAACAGATAATTGTTGCTAATTAATACTGGTTCCTGCTCCCGCAATTTGCGCCAGTACGCGTTGTATTTGGCGGAGTTCGTTTATTTATGATGAAGTAGTTTGCTTATGAAATGACTTTCACCACCGGGTCCTATATGAGTATTAAGTAATCTTTGCGGACCCGGTTGATACAAAGGTCCTAATGATTAATATGAGGTCCCAACACATAGGTGCCAGAAGAGGCTCTTTAGCCTTGTCATAGCATACATTCCTGCTTTCATGTTTTCCCCTGTGCTCTTGTGGAAGTTATCAACTGCTACGCTTTCCACTCAATTGTTCAGCCAGTTAACGATATTTTAACAGCGGAATGGAATATTATTCAGCTATCTGCAACCAAATGGTGTGATTAAGCCGAATATTGCAATGCATGCTGACCTATGTGTGTTTACTATCAGCTTTTCATCCCCGGAGCAAAAATGGCAGCAAAACAGTGATGATGTCTCTTCACCATTGCGAACCAAAGGACTACCCAGAATTACCATTCCTCTTATGGGTTTTCCTTTGGTGAACAACAGGCCCAGAAAGACCGATGTACTCCAGTTTCTGAACCTCGTAAGGGAAACAACATAGTTGTAAAGCAATAAACCGGCTTCTGATACCGGCTCTAATCCCTCTTATTCCTGATCGACGGGGGCCAGGTATTCCACGGTGTGCTAGTTGACCTCTGTTTTCTGCAGTAAGCGATTGCGTGGCCGTAAAAAGCGCTGTTCGTGGCAATAACAAGAATATTATCCCTTTTGAAAGTAGACAGTAAAGGGTGAAAAATGATGGTCGAAAACCATTTGTCAACACCAATCAGAATCACTGGAAGGAGTCCGTAATCTAGATATAGCATGTTCCCACAGGAGCTCGATGTAAACTACTTCGCCGGTCAGCACTATTCTGCTTCGCGACTGTTATGTAACGCGGGTATGGTAGTGTGAGTATTGCAGAAGTGACGTTGTTGAGATAGTACTCCGTTGTTAAGCTGAAGTCCAGCATCCCTGAAATCCGACGAGATCGAAGTGAATCTGTTTTGTTGAGGTATTCTGTGTTTATTGTTAAACCCCTGATAGCGTCGGACAATAAACAGTGTCCGAAGTTTAAAGTGGTCAGGTAGGATCTTATGTCGATTTTCGTGAGGTAGGCTACTAATCAGTTTTATTGAACTGCGTCCTTTGAGCTATTTCAGATTAGCGCAAATGCCGACCACAGTAAAAAAAACCACTTGTCTAAATGTGTGATGAGCAATCTGATGCTCTGGCACTTGTTGCCATATCCTCCCTCCGAGGCAATCCGGAAGTATAGTTTTTTTGAGGTTGCAACAGACTCAAGTGTTCTGGTGTCTTTTTAATCAAATGTTGCTAGGCTCTGATAAACTGTGTAATAACTGTCAGTTAGATGACATACAGTGCAGATGTGTGCAAAGCAAGAACCTTATTAGGGACTACAAGGTGCAAAGATACTGTTCCGTTTACATTTATCTAGTACTGTCTGTAAACATATTGTAGAAGAAATAGGCCACTTCAAGGAGAAGGTGAAATAGATCACGGTTGGCGCAATAATATTTTTGCTAAATTAACCCCACACTATGCCTGAGCATAGAACACTGAAGAAGTCACTAGTGTATATGTGAGCAGCAAAGAGCGCAACTGTTTCTGGTATGAAAACACTAGCAGTTAAAGTACCTAATGGCTGGGCATCTTGTACCAAGGCGTATCCGTTGCACATGGCACCCACAAGAGGATGATTCCACCCACTGGAAATGCACGACAGATCGATACTGTTACTATGGTTTACATTGCACGGTAGAAGCTGCAATTTGACTCAAATGTGGGAAAAGGCCATTGAAAGGTATTCCATCCGTTTGATATACCATCCAATCATTGTGTTTGTGCCGCGCCTTGGCCCAAGCAAGTAACAAATACACACAGTTTGTACTTGTATAGTTGTCTTGTTCTGAATAGAAGGATATCCCTGTCATCCGCTGACAGGCACTATCCCGCTGAGCTTGATGTGTCCCAAACAAAGCTTCAGGTGTTATTTCAGTGAACTCGTTACGCTCTGGAATTCCAATTATTAACACCCACTCACTTAGATCATGTTTTGTTCTCCAGTAGTTTACTTACGTCAAATGGAGCTTTAAGGTAATATAAATGTGGCTACCCTTATGTGTGTATGTACTACAAAGTATATATAGCAGACCAATAATGCCTTTCAAGCCACGTGAATGGAAAGATTTGCAACATCTTGAAAACGAGTTTGTCCTCAGATCAGACAGTAAAAGAAGATGTCTTAATAGTACTACTATCCTTGTTTGTGCACAGAACAGCGTTATTCTTTTTAGTATACGTTCATCCACGTCATTCAGAATCGGTCATTTCCGCACCATCAGTATCCACATTTACACGACGTTTGGTGACTCACTTACTCACCTACATTTTAGCACCTAGTACTACATCTCCATCGCATTCCTGGCATATACTTTAGATTTATTAACATAGTTGTGCTGCGGAACTAGACTGAGCGCAGTACAACAGCGAAATAAACGATAAGCCTCTTTTAAACGTAAATAACGCACTGCTTTTTATTTTTCGATAACCCTGCATAACCACCCAACGGAATAAGTAAAACATTGCTTCTTAACCCGTATAAATTCACTGTTCACTGTTTCATTAATTGCTTCATTTTCCGCTGACTACGAGGGGCTGCATTCGTTCGCGTACCCGGCCTACCTGATCTGGGTCGTATGAAGCAGGGGGCATGCATCTAATACCCCCACTGAGTAAAAAAGATGTATTAACTTGAGGTCCAACATGAACATGCAAAAACTATGACGACTGGTATTACGAATATCGGTAAGGTTTATAACTATTGGTGCACTACTTTTTAATAGAAACCCGCAGACATGATTTTCAGGGTCTGGCTGCCCAGGGTGTTATTCTTGGTACCGTAGATTTATGCGCTGTCTTGATCTAACTAATACCTTGATTTGCTTATCAGTGTACCAAGTTTCGTGCCAGGTTCAAACGCGATTCTCACTTTATACTTGTGGTCGATAACGATTTTGATAATAATATGAATGACAATACAATTGAAACACATGGAATCTGCCTTCTTTGTACAGCAGCTACAGTATGCTTCTTTACTTGACTCTTCCTGGCCGCTTTTTTCAGAAAGCGATTACAATTTTGCCTTTCGAGGAAACCTGACCATAAGTCTGGCACAGTATTCGGTTAGTCGCACTCTGCCCGTTTATCTCGACGTTCAAACCGGTCGGTCAAAAAGAAGTTCAAGTGGAATACGAAATGGAATTGCAGACGACACAAGCTACCAAGTGGTACGACTTCTTACCCCGATGTTTCACGTACTCAACGGCATCTTTGCTACGCCTTGTCAAAACCAAACTTCTTCAGAGTATTCTCGCCCTTACAACTTGTTTAGTTTGGGCGGATCGTTTCGAGGAACTTTTCGCTTGCAGTTCTACTTTGCAGTGGAACATGTTGGGAAATTTAATGTCAAGGTTGAGCTCAAGTTGGAGCCTGAAACAACTCAGTCATACGCAAGGGGCTCTATTGATGTTCAGGTATCTGCCACAGAGCCCAACAAACAACTTGTACGGGCCTATCGTGAAGCCGGCAATGTGGGTGACCGTAATTTCTATGCTTCATATCACGTGGACAACTATGGTCGAATTGTTTTTCCCGAAAATTCTGTGCATCTAGTACCGGAGTCGCGTGCAACAACTGGTGAAGAGCAAGTATTGGACGATTTAACTGTACGATGGTCGGCGGTAGCTGAATCTGTGGTTTTAGCAGGAGCAGCCTCCAACTGTTTACTGCGTCGTGATAGTGTCGTTCCACGCGATCATCCGTTTTACCTGCGATTATTGGACCGCGGGTACTGTAGTGAGGATTGTGCGTCAACCGACGGTACTTGCAATCTCTTTTGTGTCGATGTACCGCTACTGTCTTCAACGGAACCTGGTGAGTTCAATGTGATATGTTTCAGCATGTCAAATGTACGGTCTCTTTTACGGGCAGATATCAAAATGCCATATGGACGTCAACCCATTTACAGCATATCGCATAGCCGAGTCTAATCTTGTAACAACGTGGAATTATCGAAATAAAATGCATTGTTTACCAAGGAATAGGTGGCATTTATCGAAAGGCCTGCTTGCAATCGATCTAAATTTTGTCATTTATTTGAAACTTACACTGTTTTAAAATAGTTGCATTGTTTTATTAATGATGATGCGAGTAAATTCTGAACCGAAACTGGAATGAGATTAAGTACATGGTTTGTTCAATCAAAGACTGTATCTAGGACTTCCGAACATAAATAACTGTGGTATCCGCCTAATTAGTGAACGAAACATTAGGTCAAATTGTAGATTGCAGACGAACCATACACTGCTGAAGAAGATAAATCTTCAACTTAACTAACTATTTTCGGTTTGCAGTGGAATCTACACCACTTGCGATAAAACTCCGAGCGTTGAAGCACAAGTAGCGTAAAGACAAGTTGGGGCACATGATCTCAACAGCCTTGAAATCAAAAGCCGTTGATAGACGGAAATTTACGGACAGTTTTAACTACAAGTGGTACATCAACTCGAACTTAAAGAACACACTTGGTGTTCCGATTAACTAGTGGGCCGGATGACACGAACCAAAAAGGAGTTTTAAGGATATTTTGAATGTCGAGCTGAAGCTCGGCTCATCAAGCCAATTCAGCAATCAGTGCAAATAGAAGTACCCAGTATTTACTGGTTAGAAAATCGCGTAACCGTCTTTGCCTGCCAGAGATTACTCGAGGAAAGATCTGCATACCAAATTAAATAGTTGGAAATGTGTGAGTTGGGTAAACTTGGGAAAACAATGAATAGCGATAAACGTCTTTTTAATGAGCGCGTCCAAGCATTGGATCACCCGAGTTTCATACCTAACCGCCGGATCTGCGTCCGTCAACTATCGTTTGTGCTTCCGCTTTCTGTTGGGCTATGCACATAATATAGGGTGAACGACACCGAAGAGACACCGTCTCATTCACTCCTGATAAATATGTGCTCATGCACAGGTGTAGATAGATGGCATGCACACAGTGCTAGATGAGGTACAAGCCGTACAGCGTGTAAGCTAAAACCTACTGAGATTAGTGCGTGGACCTGATGGCTGGGCTAATTTAGTCAATGTGGCAATCGTGACCACATTTCTGGGTCTAGATAAGTTTGACCAAAGTGACCACCGATTGTGGCGGTTTTGCCCGTGCATCTACTTTCATCGGTCGTCAGTATCATCGTTGCGCAAAATGTACAAATGCCGATCAGGTCAGAATAGTATTACCTTAAGGATTGTCTGCATTTCTTACTTTGATTAAAATGTCCTTATTAATGCCGTGGGTAAGGCTAGTCGCACATTATCAATGCCGGATATACAATGCCTGCACCGTGTGCCAGCATTGCCTGAACGAACGCATTTGTATAATACATGGTGACTGTTTGTGGACTGGTTACTGCGCATCTAGCGATCCACTGTATAGCAGTTGTTCGTGTGTGTGTGCACGCGTCTTTATCCGCTTCTCCATCAGCAGAAATACACGTGTTCTTAAGTACAATAGCAGTAATAATGCGTCATACATGTAGACCCCCATAACTAACCCGTCTCAGAAATGTCCCATTTTGCAGAGTACTACACATTCCAAACACATATTGTTTATCAACCATTACGGAGAGTATATAGTTTTGTTTTCTGTTCATGTGGCTGTCAGGGTTACACATACATTAATCGAGTGCGTTTCATTGTCTGGACATTATGACGACCCTCAGTTTTTATTCCCCGGTTACAGTACGCTGACACTTTTTGTGTTACCCTACGCGGTTTTCCAATTAGCTGTAATTTTCTCTCAAACACCCTCGAGAAGCAGTAGTTTTCATCAAAAACGCAATTACATGCTTCTTGTATTGTAGATGTTTGTTCCTGCATTACTTGCCCAAGTGAAGGTGAGATCTGTGTTCCCGAAGGCGGTGTTTATTCATGTCAGTGCAAGCCTGGTTTGAAGAGAATGGACGATCACACTTGTAGAGGTCAGTGGTGAATCGATCTTGTGTTATATAGTTGATCTTGTGACTTTCGATACTAGAATAGTTTGAATGACCAAAACGTATGGTACACCATATGATAGGTGGATGTTGGCAGATGCGACTAGCCCCATATGGTATAAAAATGAAGTCATTAGTGCGGAGAAAGTGGGGGTTAATGAATTCCTCTGCTACGCAAGAAATACTCACACACAAAAGCAGAGAAGACTAGTGAAAATAATTTCCCGGACGATTAAATTATATCACCCAGAGCTTATGGTGTCAAATAATCTGAAAAGAGAAGCGTTACTTCTGCTCGTCTTTAGCCATAACGCTACTCTTGGTACATTACTGAAGGAAGATTCAGAGCGAGCCTCATTTAAGTGTGTTACTTGGGACTCCCACCGTTTTCCGCCTTGTTACAAATTTTGACCACAAACTATCATCATGCCGCGTCGGCTGACAAGCAGAGGTGTGCAACCCTGGTTAGAACCGAAACATGCACAGCACCGATCGTTTTAACTGTACCCGGACTGAAGAGTTCAGCATACGCACAATATTTATCTAACTGATTATTTCGTCTGCGGCGTAGTGTATAAAGAGACGAATGCAAAACTACTATTCCCCACAGACAACTGTTGACGGAATACAAGTCAAGTCAAGTCAAAATAAGCTTTAGGTATCCTGGCGGGTATATTTTCGGCACTTTACAATATCGACTACAGATGAGATAAAAATACATTATCAAAATGTAAATTGGTGTGAATAACATAACGGACAGTATGTACAGGTATCAGTTGAATAAACGGTTGGTATAAACGCGCAACAATAAAACATGTACGGACGGAATAATCTGAAGCTACATTCTATTGAAGGGTCACTCCTGCAAGCTAGATTTCCAATCGAGTCGACCCATCTTCAAGTGCGCAGCATCTCGGGCTTTTATCAAAAAGTAAACGAAGGACACTAGTGGTGACCTTGGAAATGGTTTGAAAAGGGTCCATGTTGAAATATTTTGGAAAGACTATTGTATACATAGCGATATTGTAAAGACGATGTTTAGTGATAATGACACTGCCTATTTAAAGGCCCCGCCCCCTGCATTTCAGGATGAGTTAAAGTCAAAAGAAATTTACTTAGCCACTAAAAACTAATTTGTAACAGTTGTTGTAGAGAACCTTTAATTAATTACATTCGAAGTCCCGTACTCAGAATGGAATCGAGTATGTAGTCGCAAATGGAACAATGGAACAATGGAACAATGGTATATGACGGGTAAAAAAGGCATACACTTAACGAGTCCCGCAGGTTGGCAATAGAAATACTAACAAATTGGCAAACCACATAAGTGGTTGAAGTAAGGAGCGTCAGTGAGATAAAAGGTAGGAGTATAACAGTTTTAGGGGGATAAAGTGGTACGACGCAAGACTGGCTAAGAAATTGTTATCGTTGGTGATGGTAGCAAATCAAAATGGAGTACTCACCGGTTCGCACAGATTTATGACCGTAAATTTGGGGTATAAATCCAAACAGGCTGGTCAGCCTAAATATATACAAGCGTTTTCGTTCATAAAACAAAGCGCAGGGCGCTCAGTGCGACGTCCAATCGTTTTTTTAAGCGTATCTAATGTGGGGGCACAAACAACTGAGTTTGGAAGGGCGTTCCGGGGCCCGCAGACCCGGAGGGAGAAATAGGTTCTCCGACAGTCTAGACGACTGTACTGTTGGCTCAGCTTTAAACTGTTACCGCGAAGGTTAGTGTTCGGGCTGAGCTTCAAGAGGTGGCGGCATACGTGACTGGGATCGCTCAATATCTGGTACACTAGTATGAGGTCTCTACGAAGTCGCCGGTACCTTCCGCTGAACACTCCGAGTGTCTCCAGTCGTTCCTGGTAAGGAGTGTGGCGCAAGCCCTTGACGATTTTCGTTGCTCGACGCTGTGGGGTCTCAAGCGCTGTAAGGTCACGTTTTAGCCAGGGTTGCCAGGCCTGGATTGCATATTCGACGTGAGGACGCACGTAGGCATTCAGCATCAAAGAGAAGATGGATGGATCCAAAATTCCGAATGCTCTTCGCAGGAGTCCAACGTGCTGGTTGCCCCTTTTAGAAGCGGAATCTGACTGTTTGGAACACCCGAGGTCTTCCTGTACCAGCACACCCAAGTCGCGTTCCTGAGTGGTGGTCTTCAGATCGTGTGCCCCAAGCTTGTAGACGTGGACTTGTCGATGGCGGATATGAACAACGCGACATTTGTTCACATTAAACGGCAGGGCGTTTCTCACCGACCAATTCCAAAGGTTAATTGAATCTCTGATTAATCCATCTCCAACGGATTCCCGCTATAGGTTTGGGTTTTGTAAAATGCTTCCCGAAATCGGTTTTTTCTACAAAACGAGCTGCAAGGAATTACATGATGGTTGACCGAAAACTATGTTTTTGAACCCAGTAAATCTGCAGGCTATACAACTGCTGTACTTATAGTGCTTATTAGCCAGTAAAATTAAGCTACTATAAAACGCAAGTGATGTGTGGGGCACTGAACAGGTACCCACTGGCATCCATATTTTACAAATTTACACGAGAATGATTACCACTTCGGAAAGTGCAACACTTACTTTTTTGACATTAATCAACGTGGGTGAATTAATGTACAGGTAGCTTCTATTGTGCTGTTCTTCTTTTGCTTTTGGTTGCGGCACAATGTGTATGCTGTGTAGACTGTCAGTAACTTTTCACTCACTCGAACGCCCCAATCTGTGTTTTGTAGTTGCACAGCGTTGCTCTGCATGGGCAAGCAGCAATAGGTGAAAGCCTGCGTATGACAGTTTGCACTGTCAGATGCGGATCAGCGCTCTCGAGCAATCAGCTCGAGAGATGGCGGCTGGAATATCAGTCAACATGGATGCACAAAAGCACATTGCTGGCAGGATTTGACTTGCATGCTAGCAATATAAAGTTACATCGATTATATTTTTTGGGAATTTTTGTAGACATCGCTTGGATGGGTCCTCTGGTAAGAACATTTGGCTGTACACAGTCTCGGTAGCTGATCTCATCCTGCTAATCGCGACTATAATTGCAGCGGCTGTACAATTACTGTATGGGTTATTCGACATATTAGAATATGATATTGACAGAAATTCGTCACATCTAGAGTCTATCAAACAGCCATCACTCGCCCGGATAAATGATGTACGCGCGTTTCATCCTTTTGGAAATCGTCAGTAGTGTGCATTCCATCGGACTCTGGTAGGTCTCGGACCCGCAACTCGACTGTTGGCAGTCCGTGGTTGAGACCACTGAGTTACGTGGGACGGCAACGATCATCGTGAATAAGTTACTAGATGTGATATAGCGCCGCTCAATCCTTTGTAATCAGTGTGCATACCAAACTGGTTAGAACGTCACAAATTAATTGGTGGCTTAAGTTTGGTAAGTTCGTCGCTTGGTGAAGGTGCTACCCTGTTCTCCGCACGGCAGTAACGTGCAAAACAGTGGATAGTGAGCGGCACTATAGCGTATCTAGTAATTTATTCACGATGGTCGTTGCCGTCTCCCATAGCTCCGTAGTCTCAACCACGGACGGCCAACTGTCGAGTTGCGGGTTCGAGCCCTACCAGGGTCAGATAGAATGCGTATTGCTGACGATTCCCCAAAGGATGAAACGCAGGTACAGTGCTTTTCCGGACGTGTGGTTGCTATCTGGGTGAGACTAGATGTGACGAATTTCGATCTTTACCATTCAAAGCCTCCCCCTTCTGTTCCTCTGTAATATTCAAGTATACTTGAAGCAGATAGAGAATTCAGGATTTCCGAAGGGTTCGAAACCAACCATTTGGTGTGGTTGGAAGGCAATTTTTTGTTTTTGGCACAAAAGTATCGTCAGGCCAAGTCAACCAGTGAGGAGTGGTGCAACATTTATGGCAAGTTGGGACAGTAATCGCGACGATCTGTGATGGAAGTAGGAGGGTATTCACGTCAATATATCATACCAAGTGGCATATAAGGAATAAAAAGAATCTAAGTAGCTCACTGTACAATGTCATCCTACCTAAGTCCCTGCCGGTGATGGGAGTAGCATTGATTTGATGTTCGAACATGGCCTCAGACTCTTTTGCCGACGCTCCTCAGACTAGCCGCATTATGATAACAATTTTCTTCGCATTTGAAACATTGTGTGCGCTTTGTCCTCTCATGAACCATAACCGAGTTCAATAAAAAAACTATGGGTTAATTATTTTATACCAACCTACTTTGGTTAACTGGCAAATGTCGTTACTTTTCCTCTGAAATAACTGTGAAAATCGATTGCGACTGTCCAGCTTCAAAAGTGAAATAAATTAGACTTTCAATGGGCTCTATGTACTAAAAGTCTGCTTTCAATTGTGGCTTATATTCACCAGGACTGAGCTTCAAATGACGGCAGTTGAGTACTTCACTGACCATTTTGTACTCACTATATCTGTTAATTTATCTCATCAACTAAACTAATTAATCTCACATGCACAAACTCTTGCATCGCGATGCTAATATACTGCACTTCTGGATACATGGAATAATCAAATTACAGTTGACATCCGGAAACTCAGCAGAGGATGCTGTGGTCCCGAGTCATTTTGTTTATGCATTTTGCCTTTCCCTGAATGGATTTAAATGATTAAACTACGATTGCTCTAACACAGGTTTCCCTGTGAGAAGAGGTACTCTGAACATCTTCATACCCTCGCAAACGCAAACACACGTCCGGTGTCCATGCAAATGCTTCATCCACTCTCCCTATTCGACCATTTAACAGTTCAGCTAGCAGGAGGGATCACGCATTCAGTTACCTCACTATTGAAAATACTCTCGCGTGTCCTAAAACCCACACTTGTATGTTATAACGTGCACTGAATTTCTACTTCACTGAATTACAAAACAGATGTTTCAAACCCTAAACGACAATGTGGTTCAGTCGACTGTCACAAGAACGCCCGGTGTCTCGATTCAACGCAGGGCTTTTGTCAGTGCATTCCTGGATTTAGAGGAGATGGCCTCACGCGTTGTGAGGAAGGTAAGTGTTGTTATTTAGTTTGTGTAATTCACAGGACCACGAACATGCACCATGACAAATAATACCGACTACTGTACACAATAGTTCTGGCTGGAGCCAATGAGGCAAGGGTAAACGACCTGCTAGTCTTAAGCGAGGAACACGTACTTTGATCGCTGAATCACCGTTGGCTGTGCTGTGATATTCTGGCACCTCTATCTTTTCATCTGCAGCCTATAGCGGCTGTGGGTGTCGCTCTAACGTTTACCATTAATAATTCTTAAAAACTTGCAAACAAAAGCAGTAGCATCCATTATGTGTTACGGTACAACACTTTTGTAGTGCATACAGTGACGGATAGCTAAGACAACAATTGCAGCGACCCAACTTTTCTTAACCGTATATCTTGGTAGCATAGTGCGCGTACCAGGTACTAAACTCAAGAGGTGCATGTGACTTTATTTAATGAAGTCCGTTCCAACGGCGAATTTTGCGTGGCTGCATGACGGGCTAGTCACATTAATGGGTAATATGCACCAAACATCACATAAATTTTCGCCTATTCACTTGGTTTGTATCACTCAACGTATCTGTTGGATGCAGTTCTCTGTAGCAGTCAGGGCAGGAAGCAACTGCAACCGATTTCCCTGATTTCATGAATTTCCCGGGATGACCAAATTGATCGAATAACTGTTTTACAATTTAAGTTGCATGAATATTCCTACTTAACGTTTGAGTTAAACAAAAGCACTCGGTGAGCAATTGCTTTCAATGATTTGTCTTCAGATTAATGCAACCAAATATAAGGTAAACCAAGTAGAATTGAAGAAGTTAGTTCAACTTTAATGGACGAACCTGTGATCTATTCCGTACTTGTTTAATTGCGAAGTACGGAGTTTAATCTAGATCAGGTGGCCTCTCTGTTCTCCGTTTTAGTTGGCCAGGGAAGCTGCAGATATTGGAGCAGTTACTTCTGCGACCTTAACAACGCTTGAAACAATCTAATGCAAATTACTTAGACGGTCGCTACTGTGCGGAGCCGTTGACTTTTTGGTGATGCGGATGAACCTCGTAAAATTTTCTGAAGTCACGCTTAGATCCACCTGATACCCGACGAATACGATATGGAGCTGCCAATGACAGTGATGAAACAAAAGTGGGCACTGCTCAATCTTGCTTTTGTACAAATGTCGCGTTGTTCGACCGAGATACAGTAAAATCTCAAAGTTGACCACTCTATATGTCAACCACCTCCCTATGTTGACCAATTTTTCATAGCTTGAACGGTCATTGTAAACCCTATGGAACCAGACCTCTATGTTGACCACCTCTAAGTTGTACGTTGCCGACTTGAGCCATAACAGTCAGTAATGATTTAATCTCCATAAGTTGACCATGTAAGAGCTTTCCATCCAATGGTTCCCGAATGGCTCGTCTGTTCCGATAACACGGTGTGCAGCAGGACTGCAATGTGTGGACTTCTGACCCTCAAATCAGTGTACTTTACTTTTGAGGAGACAATATGTTCTCTTTGTGTGCGTGCGCATGTTTGTCCCGGCCGTCAGTGTTTGTGCGCACTTCTATTACCTAGATCAATGTGGGTCCACCCAGATCTGCGCCCATGGAATGACCTAGAATGATTTGTGTTCAACCAACATATACACAAGCAAACCACAGGCAGCAGTCAAACGAAGACAGTAGAGCATTTTGGTGTTAGCAAACCAAGTAGACAATATCTAAACACATAAGCAAGAGTACTCGGAAAGATAGGATAAAAGAGGAGATCAACAGAGATAAAGGCGGCCAACAGTGGAAGAGGCGGAAAACTTCACTCGATGACTTTAGTGAGACTACGCTGCGCTGGTTCAAACAACTGAGGGCAGCTAACGCTTGAGTTTCTGAGCAGATGATTCAGGAAATTGCTAGAAGGTTCTCACAAGCATTTGGAGTTGCAGATTTCTATGCATCCAATGATTGGCTAGAGAAATTTAAACTCTGACATGAAGTTTACCAGAGAATTCTGTGTGGTTAATCCATTGAAGTGCCTGAAGTGTTTGTTCAAGACTTCATCGAAAAACTTTCTGACTTCAACAAGGGCCTCACCAATGCCGACATTTTTGACGCTGACCAGTGCGATCTCTTTTACAAGGCGATGCCTAACCGAAGCCTTGTTATAAAAGGTGACAAATATATAAGTGTAAACCATTCCAAAGAACATTTCACAGTTCTGTTGTGTGCGAGCTTGTGAGGAGAAGCTAAAACCCTTGATCATTGGTAAATCAGCTAGGCCACGTGCGTTCCAGAACCTAACTCCTGAAAACCTTCCAGTCATCTGGAGGTCAAACCGATCTGCGTGGATGACTGCTGGCATATTTGATTTGTGGTTCAGAAGCAACGACAAGGAAGTGATGAAGTAGAAACGCTACATTATCCTAAAAGTGGACAACTGTCCCAATCACCGTCATATAAAAATTCACAAATATTACACCTGTTTCTGCTTCCAGACATGACATCACAAATTCAAACTCTGGACTAAGGGATAAACAAAATTTTATCAACGCACTACCGAGTCCAGCTCATGCAATGGGCCATGGCGAAATTGCATACCATTGATTCAAATGCTGGAGGAAGTTCATCTGTTGCTCCGGTTAATGCCCTGCATGTTGTGCTTTAAATAAGTTCTGCTTGGTCTAAAGTTCAACCCGAGATTATACAAATGTGTTACAAAAAAGCCGCATTTGTTCAATCTGCCGAGCGGAGTGCCGTCGCTTTACTAGACATTCCATCTCAATTGGCAGAATTCGACGGGGTTGATTTTAAAGAGTTTGTTGAAGTGGGGGATGATTTAGTAACTTGCACTGAACCAGACCTAGATGCTCTTTTCCAAGATATACTGACTGCGGTACTCCCCTACAGGAACAAAGAAAAACCTGATTTTGCTGATAAAGAAGCCGTAGGACTGAGTGACGATGGTTTGTACATCACAAAACTCCAAAGGAAGATGAAATCAGACATCTTTTATGCAACTGAAATCATTTACTGTGGCGAAATGTCCAAACGTGCTGAGTAGTGTAGCTTGTAATGAAAGTGCTTTCTTCAGTTAGCGATGTGATAACAGAAACAAAGCTTGCTTTTTTCTTCAGAAAAGCAATTTAACTTGCGAATTGCATACTGCGTTTTATTTATTATAACACTGTATAGTGGAACAGCGTTTGCCATTACGTGAGACCTCGTCTAATGTGGTCAAATGGGTTGTGTGGAAATAAGCTTAATGCTATACTACTCACAACGGGAAAATAGGTTACGCAGAGTTTTGCATGGAACCTCCGTTTGTTGACCACTTTGGTCTAGTTCCTGGGGTGGTCAACTTACGGAGGTTTTACTGGACGTTACGCCACAAACGCACTCCAACTGTTAGGTAACTATGGAGGTGGTCAGCATCGGCAAATTTTCCTTGTTTCGTGAAAGAAAAAGTGGTTCCGTTGAAATGCGCATTTTCGCTCAGCTACTGTAAACGCTTATTTAAGTGCGGCTGAAAGACTTCTATAGTTGGATACTCGGTAGCTACATCCCCTCTGAAAGGTAGCCGTGTGAATAACTCATTATTTATAACTGTTAACATAACATTCACTAAGACTTTGCTTAGAATTGCCGTGACATAACTCCGCCAGGATGACAAATTTTGTGCAGCATATTCTGTGTGAACATCAATTGCGCTTCCAGGGTGTCTTCCCAGCAGAATCAACGCCCTTTCGACGTAAGACATTGAATCAAGCTGCACCACTATCACAGAGGAAAAAAACTGTGGAATTCCATATACTAACCAGTCTACGCGGTCTTTCTGTAAATCTGCAGCTGGATGGAGCCATCTGGTCTCCTAGTTAACAAGACGCCAATGTACGAAACTGATTCTCGGTTTTCCCTTCATAAGTAAACTGCGGTGCCGCACGAGCTCGGTCGAGGTGAGGAACATAAGGTTTTGTATTAGACAAGCAGGCTTAATGAGAGGTGATGTCTTTTTTGCGCTAGCTAGTTCCTGTATCTAGAATGTACTGTCTGTAGTTTACGAGGAGAATACGTTCAATAAACTTATCATGGTAATGCGGCCGCGGTTGTGCCGCGATAGTTTCAGTCACAATTGGCTCTAGTAAATTCATTTCCATTAGGTTGTATTTCCAATCGCGTGGATATTGTACTGTGCTTCTCGTAGCTTGCGTTTTTTAAGAAAGCCGGTCGCTGTTTTCTCTGTTTCCTTCAGACCCTTGTGCTCGATGTCAACGCAACGAAATCTGCATAAACGATGTCTGCAAACCCTCTGGTGTGAACTTGTGCGAAGGAATCCAGTGTGGAAAAGAGGCTGTATGCAGAGACGGAGCATGCGTCTGCAATCCGGGCTATACTGGAGACCCCCTGGTAGAGTGCATTGAAGAACGCGGTGAGTTCGGCTGTACTTCTCTGGTGACAACACCACGTTGGTTCTCCTGCTTCTAGCTGACCAGTTGGCACTGGGCACTGGAAACTGGAGAGTTTCATCTTTAGTTATATTTGAAATATTTGACTTCCCAGAATATCTTGGCGAAAACAAGCAGAATCCATTGTTGAGTTGCACAGTAGCCTCAACGCAAGGTGGTTGCGATTCCAACTTGTAAGGCGTGGACTGTTGAGGTGGTAATGATGGCAATCTGTCTGACATCAAACTGCTACGCGTAGGAGAAAAAATACTGTGGCGTAAATGAATCAAAATGTAGCTTGGAAGAACGTCAGATACACCGGTTGGTAATTTGATAGGATCCACTTAAAGCTTAACTGCGCTTAGCAATGAGCACTACGGGAATAAGCCCAGTGTTACTAAAATCTTACTGAATACTTCACTGCCAGTGGAATACCAATGAGGGAGTTCATTCTCAATGAGCTCGGCCCATCAACCTGCTTACCATCAGGTGAAGTTTACATTTCCTTAGTGGTTAGTAGGTTTGTTTACTCGTTCTACTCAATTGTTTACATCCCTGATAATGTACGTACTATATTATCGTCAGGATAAAGAAAGTAGACTAAGGACCGGTCCTCGCAGGCCTCACGGGTCATCTGCGCTTACAAACATTCAAAAGCTCACGCGCTATATCTTTCTGGTTCTCGGCATTGCGAAAGACTACCAGCTAATACAAAAAAATCGAAAATAGAGCAGAATCTCGTAATGTATCGTCTGGTCAGTTGTCTAATTTTTGAGTTAAATTCTTTACGCGGCAAAACATGTCTGCTTGTGTCCGTTTTATAACAGCTGCCGATTAAATTTCACTTTAATAAATCCTAACAGTAAGTAGTGTTGCTGGATCAAGAATCTTCATCATGTTGAACTGATGGGTTTTTGTTTGCCTAACTGGTCTACTGGTACTTTTGGAGTGAGCGCAAGTGTTCCGAACCTGTGGGATCGTTCACTGCAATAAGGCGGGAGAAAAGTTAATCAACACTTATCAGAATGTAATTCCTTTCCTAATGCACAGTTTCTGTCTGAACCACAGGAGGTGATGGAGAATTCTGTGATCATGAAATAGTTAATGCATTCTTGCCTTTCAACAGTCGCAACCGTAATGACAATACCAGTTTTCCCTCTACCGGTTAGCGTAAAATCGAGGCAGTGTGATCGAAAGCAGGCGTCGCCTAATAACTTCCTCATAACTGGTGAAGAGAATTTATATACTTTCTCTGTGGGACACTGATAGCCCATTAAACCTTGTCGCTTGACAGTGACCTGTGTCACTGACACTACAACGCCATGCCTTTTCTTATTTTGTGGCACCGGGTGGCAGATACTACGGTTTTGTACGAGACCTGGAGAAATCATAACAGCTTTTTGATCTCGATAAGCTTTATAAGCTTACCGCGGATATTTCAAAGCAACTTCGTATCCATTGTGATGGGCTGCACTTAGCATAATAATGCCGTCTTCTATGTTGTAAATTATACTAAAGTTTCGCTGGATCATACTGTGAAGCCATAAATTACTTGTATTATCTCCATCATCTACTAATTATGAAGCACTTTCTATTAGTCCACTTCTGATAGCGAAGGATTTTTAATATCTAGTAATTATAAAGAAGAAAAGAACACCACATTTATGCTGAACAGGAGCCTTATATTATGCTGCAGGCCTGCATTATGTTGAAAATGGAACGATACTGCCTTTCGTGCAGTTCATCTTGCATGGCAATCAGAGCGCTGTTGCTCCCAAAGTTTACTCAACTTGACTGCTACGAATAAATAAGTTTGCATATCTAGCTGCAATGTACGAGAGCGATAAGTTTCTACCTGCATCTTCTTGTGCAACAAATGCGCTGAACTCTTCATTGCTTCACCCAAACCACATATGGATTCATCATTTATGAGTAGATAAGCAGTGGAAACATCCGATTCAGGATTTGCCTGTCACTGAGACCTTCATGGGACAAGCATAGGACGCCTGCGCCTACAGAGGGATCGTGGATGGCTTGAGCTGCACCACCCACAGCTCCATCCACACACCCCATTTCCAGTGTAAACCCGTAAGGATAAGACCGGGAGGAATGTGGATGTGAGCCACGTTTCATCAAAGGAGCAGACCCATACTCTTTTAAGATGCATAGCAGCAGCATTTCTGTGTATCTATGTAGATAATCAGGTATCACGCGTACACAAGGCGATGGTTGGGCCGGAGTCCCTTCTACATCAGATGGATGGAACCACTCCTTGAGTCTAGCAAGGTCACAAGGACGGGTGCACCCTGTCGGCCCAAGCAACGATTCACAGTCTGCTTGAGCCAGTAATCTAAGTGAGGGTGATGGAGAGGCAGGCACCACGGAAACACTTACTGACCTAAGTACTTGATGCAGTTGGTGTGGTATACTTGCTACACCGTCGCTGCAGTTGGTCTGTACGTGTGTGTATACCTGCATGTTGACTTTCTTGCGTTGCAGGTGTTGGTAGATGATTGATATTCCTGGTGTGGCTGTGCTCGATATGAATGTTGTCGAGGTGCGTACCTCTCATCAAACCAATTGGGCAGCTTACAGTTTGTGCGCCCGATCGTTTCTTTGGCCTCAGCCGTCACCTGATCGCGGATGTAGTACCACAGGTCGCTCACTGAAGCTGTAAAGTCCAAAAGGAACTTTAATGTATCTCCAGCCTGGATTGCTTACATGAGGACACGGTATCTCTATTCCCTGATTATTCTACTCATTTTAAATTGCTTTACTGCGTCCTACAATCGGTTACCATACCGTAGATTTGTTCCTTTCACTCAATCATTGCCATATCCTTGACATTTCAAGGTCATTCAGATTAGTATGTTCCTGTGACACTGCCCAAATACTCGCATACCGCCGCACACTGCACTATTTCTGCCCTCTTGCACTATGATTGCAAAAGCCATTTGTTAGTCATGTACTGTATTTAACATGTCTTATGGAAGCACGGTTACATGATACTTCGTGTCATTCTTTTGCACAGACTGTGAGTTAAATCTAGGTTTATTTGTTCGTAATTTCTAGTTTGGTTTTCGTACGATGTACTTAGTTTAGGCTCAGTATCGTTGGTACCGAGGCTATGGATCCGGTATCAACAAGTTCAAGTTCAACTTCATTCTGTTCTCATCATTACCTAGGAAAAAACGTTACATTCGTACCTATTCACCGCAGGAGAGCAATACATAGATTTAAGAATATATATAGTCACAATTAGCTCCGCACCAACTTGAGATCAGTTCCATGCTCAGCTCCACGCAATACACTTGTCATGCGTATTTCCCGCAAGTCACGCTGACGTAAGATGAGGTGGTAGAGCAGGTGAGCGTGAGCACTCCCTGGGTGCTTCCGAGTAGCCATTTCACTCTCACCCAGTTCAAACTGGATGTTCATAATCGTCAGATCGTGAGTGACGCATAGTGAGAGGAGCCGGTCACCGGTCCTGTTGGCTGTCAATACCATACTGCCGAAGTACGTCTGTCCACACCGCAGCATCCCACTCAAGGCGCGCGTTGAAATCACCTAGTAGGAATAGGCGTTCGCTCCGCGGCACGGACGGTATCAAGGAAGATAACTGAGTGCAAAACTGATGCCTTGTGTCATCAGGATAGCACATGATGGAACCATACCTGTCAATAAATGTTGAAAATTTACCATTTCCAAGTCCCAGTCAAAGTGTCAACAAGCGTGGGTTGATGACATTCAGCTCTGCCACCTTATGGCTACTTAGGAGGTTGGATAGTGCAAATCAGATCCATTTTCAGGTGGCGCTGTGTTGGCATGTCCAGCACCCAGCCTGAAGCAGCTTGCCTCGGACAGTGTGCCGTGCATAGTTGAGCGCGTTAATAACAATGTTTCACACGAGCTCCATAGCGACAACTACATGGCGTCACTCTGGACGCTCGTCTGATACAAATTAATTAATTAAATAAATTTGTATATTTATCGACAGACAGTACGCGGTCCCATAATTGGGAGCGATCATTTGTATAGTAAATAGGCTTCATAGTTTACGCGACGTAAATAGTAATATTAAAGTTTATGAATAGAATTTTGGATCAGGATTATTTTTCATCGTGTCCCAGACCTAATATGTAAAATTTACGGATGTTTCTATCATCAGTTTCTAGTTTATGGGGATCAGGAGTAGATAATAAAAGGGAGGGAATACTAGGTTGCACAGACACAGAATTTGGTATCGTAGGTAATGGCATGCAATGGGTAAGCTGGTTGTAAGCGAATATCTGCTGATATGTTTTTCTTACCAGTTTCTGTCAATGTTTCTAGAGTTTGGTGTGAGTCTAAGGTCTTCAACACATTTGATGTAGTGAGGAACATCTGAAGATAATTTCGGAACGTGACATAGCTTGCACTCATGCCTATCTGTAGGGGTAGTTTGTTCCACCGATCAGTGTATCTCACTAAGAAGAAATTCGATCGAGTTTTATGACTTGAAAGGTTTGTGTGTATTAAGTACACGCCATTACGTATGGGGTAGACTGCAGTCTTCCGTAGTTCAAGTGCGGTGCTGTCTGCGTAAATTCGTTGGTTTATAATGTTGTAGAAGAGAACGAGGTTGTTCTCTAAGCGTCTCAGTCAAAGAGGATCTAGTTGGAGTTTTCGACAGCGATCATAATAACTCAGGTTTGAGCAGCGCCCCATAACCAGCTTGGTAAATGATCGTTGGACGTTCTCCAGAACCGTTCTGTCTTTCTCGATTGGCTGTGAACGATTGTACAGTATTCCAGTGTCGGTCGTACTATTATCTTGAATGACTCAAGTCGTGTTTCTGGTAGGGAGAAAGTTCTGGTGATATATCCGCATAGCTGCCTTGCTTTCACAACCTGATGAAGCACATATTCGGAGAAATTGGAAGTTGGAGAACCCAATTCCTAAGTCCCGAACTGAATCAGAGGTTGGAATCACGTTTCCGGTAAGTGTGATGGAGCCTTCTGGGATGCGGCATCTGTGCCCAAGTACTTAGGATTTTATTGC